TCGTTTTTAACTCAGATATTGCTTTTGTCTTTTTTAAAAGACTGCTTATAAATACTATTTTAATTCGGTTTTAAACATTATTTATTTGTAAATATTTCTATTAACTGTCGTTTTCACGATTTTAGATTGATTAGATTGTTCGTTTTTTGCTTACAATTTGTGTTCGTTTTAAAATATTTTTGGGAGTTTTCGTTAATGGCGAGAAAACGAAGTCAAATAATTTATAGATAAGCCTGTATGTTTTATTTATTAATATAGGTGAATTATTGTAGTTTGCAGTGAGAAAGGAGCTATGATATATTTATTCACAATTTATATTGTTTATTAATGAGACAGAAAGATCTTAACTTTTTTTGGCTCAACTTTAATAACAGGTTAGAGAAGGGGATTAAAAGATTTAGTTTTTTGATTTCAAATATAGGCTGTTGGAGGAAAAAGAGGGAATTCCAACTATTTAGACAACAAATTCAACATATTTACAGGCACATAATGACTGAGGTAATTAGAGGATGATAAGTTAGAGCTTGACAAATAAAATAGGTAAATGTAGAATGGGAAGAGTTCAGACAGTATTATTAAATTTTGACAGTGATTAGTGATGATACAGAGTCTAAAAGAAAGACACGTTAGTGATGTTTCAGGCCTATATAAACAAAGGACAGGTGTAGTAGGCCATCAATAAATCTTCATTCATATTCTACTTTTGATATTATATAAATTACCAAAATACAGTATGTAGAGACAATGTGAGTGTAATTTCTCATGTCAAAAATACAAAACTATTTCATCCCAAATATTATACAGTACTATTTCTCACTATACTGAATCAAGTCAAATTTTATAGCGCACTCGAGGGCGGATCTAGGTTTTTGTGGGCCTAGGGCTTATTAAAGTTTAACGGGGCCTCATTTTTACCATTTTTACCAAACCTAACCTAACCTATTAACGATTTTTTACTATACGATAAGTGCTCATTGTTAATGAAAAAGTATTAAAAATTTATGATAGTAGTTCTATTTTTGTGGACCCTTGACACTTGGAAGCCCTGGGCTTAAACCTTATTAGTCCCTATGTAGATCCGCTTCTGAGCACACTTTATGTAGTGTTAAAGTTAATGAATTATTTAAAAAAATAGTTTATCTTTATCTGGATCAAATCAGGTTTCCATATATGCTCTCGGATTTATGAAATCCGAGAGCATATATGGAAACCTGAGGGGCAGTTGGTCCCGATTAATTATTTACGAACATCTCATGCAAGCCGGAAGTTACGTTATTTCGATTCAAAGATTTTTTTCTCCGAAATGAGTTAATTATGATTTAGAATTTAGCGATTGTTAAGCAGAAAATTCCGTTTCACACGGGTTGCGTTTGCAATCGGTTGCAAGAAAGTTGTCCCTTTCCGCGTCAGATAAGTTTCTGATTGTTATAACGTCCCGAATTTGTTTTCCGCTTTGTACAATTCCCGTTTTAGACAGATTTTATCGAATTTATAAGGAAAATGTTAAGGGAGATAATCTACGACGTTAAAGAGAATTATAGACAGGAAAAACACAATATTTTATTCATTATTTAGATGTAATTAGTGCTACATAAAGTATATTGTATATGGCATTTCGATTAGTAATTTATTTAGCACAGCTTTCCGCGTTATAATATTAGTTTTAGGAAATATTCTTAACGTAAATTTTAAGATTAAAAACTTGATTAAACTTGATATACGAAGGAAGAATTTTAAACAATACAAAACAATACTGTTGAAGTAACTTTTTTTTATCTTTTACTTTCCCGGCTATTGTAAATTATACAATAGCCGGATTTTTGTAAATATTGTAAATCATTTTAAATTATACAAATAATTCCCGATACTTTCCTTCTGTTATAAAACAGAAGGAAAGTATTGGGATCGGTCAAAAATGACCCCCCTCTCCAGATTTTTATATTTTTTGACTGGGGCCACTTCGAAACATCGAGGATTCCAAAAAAAGACAGGATTTCTTCTGTATGTATGGATGTTATAGTTGTGTGTGTGCCTGTGTATGAGAGACTCGATTTTGATCACCCTCTTTGAAGCTTAATAACTCCAATACATTTTGTCAAAAATTTCTGAAATTTTGCGGGGCGATTTTCGCGTTAGAGGAATCGATGATGCGAAATTTTGGAGGTTAAAGGTCGACAGAGTGGGGAAATAAATGAGGTTCGTGTGTCGTATATCGAGTAGAATCGAACTTAATGAAGATTTTAAGTGGTTATTTATTTCTATTTTGCTTAACTTATCGGCAGGGCCGTCCAGAGTAAGAAGCAAAAGAGGCCTGGGGATAGAGTGGGTCCCTTTAGAGCAGTGTTTCCCAACATTGGGCTCACGCTCCACAGGGGGCAATTAGATTGTAAAGGGGCAATTCGAAAATGGACTCGTCCAGAGTTTAAGTTAACTGTATAGCCAGGGGTGCACAACCTGCGGCCCGCGGGCCACATACGGCCCCCTATCAATGTTTATGCGGCCCGCGGACGGTACAGGCCAAATCCCTTCTTTCAAAGTGTAGAACTTTTTCCTTTCACAAAGTCATTAGCACCCAACTGTTTTATGACTTTCCCTGAGGTGAGAAATGGGGGATTGTTCTATAAATAAGTCTATTT